GCCAAGGGTCAGTAGCAAATATTTGCAATAACGTAATTGGTTTATACTCGAGCAGGTGCAAGTGTCTTAAAGCTCGAGTAACTTGCTCCGGAGGTTGCACATGCCGCGGTTGTTCAAATCCATTGGGAGAACATCCATCCGAAAGTGCAAACACTGAGTGCGGTGCACCACGTAAACGGCGAAAGTATGATTTTCAAAACTTGAAAAAGCATACCTCGCAAGCCTACCTCCATATGAAAGGAGAACCGCCACGAGGGGGAGCACTGACGAGGGAGGAATCCTTTGTCGTGGAAGAACTTATACAACTGTCCCTTGCAAGCGGGAAGGAACTGAAAGACTTCCTCTCTGTTGACCCACTACGATCTTGTTAAATCTATCAGTTGCATCCTAGAACCTTAGCCGTTACTGCTCAGAAAATTACATGAACAAATCAAGCGAGCCATTGCAGCTCACGATCACGACGCAGCCATTATGGCGGCGTTATTCAAAAGACAGATTGAACTATGTTCCTCTAAGAAGTGAACACCATCAAACGTGCTGAGGAATGCGATAAACTTTTGCATGCTTTGTTGGATTTTTTTACTGTTGCGCACATGACAAACAGTCATTTCGAAAATGAATAGATCTTGTTGCTATATTAAGCTGTACTATATCACAAAATCTAGATAATTTTTTCATGAAACTTGAGAAGAGGCTTTTAAAATAATTATGTCAGCCGCAGTTCTTTTCAGTTTTTATATGGGACTATAAAGTTCTCAAACATGAATGGATAAATCTTCATTAAGATTCATTTAAACTTAGAATAGCTCTTACAATTTACTGTGCTCAGAAAATAAAACTTAAACGACAACATGGAAAATAGCTAAATATATCAACCTTCGCAACTTAATAATCAGGGCTTCTTTCCGATCCTTTTTCCCATGTTCCCCACTGTTCTACCATTCCTCTGCGCCCAAACTTCCTCTGGTCTGTCGAAAACGTGCAAAAGCTATCCTCGCGATTTATTTTCTTGATTCGATTTTGATATTACACTTCAATTAACTCCTACTCACAACTCTCACGAAAAAACACACCACGTCTCATTGTAAGCACGTGGAACAGCACCATATATGGGGCGATAAGACACGTGCTGCATACATGCGGCTTGGTTACGTCATAGATAAACGAAATCACTTATGATGTCACCAATTTTAAGATTAATAAATGTAACGTACAGTTTCCCACAGGTCCTCTGTCCTCACTTTTCCTCTGGTCTTCTGTACCCACTGTTCCTCTGGTCCTCTATACCCACTAGTCCTCTGTTCCCACTGTTCCTCTGTTCCCACTATTCCTCTGGTCCTCTGTATCCACTGATCCTCTGTACCCACTAGTCCTCTGTACCCACTGGTCCTCTGTGCCCACTGTTCCTCTAGTTCTCTGTGCCCACTGTTCCACTGGTCCTCTGTTCCCACTGTTCCACTGGTACCTTGTGCCCACTGTACCTCTGGTCCTCTGTACCCACTGTTCCATTGGTCCTCTGTACCCACTGTTCCCCTGCATGGTTCTCTGTACCCACTGTTCCACTGGTCCTCTGTGCCCACTGTTCCACTGGTCCTCTGTGCCCACTGTTCCCCTGCATGGTCCTCTGTACCCACTGTTCCACTGGTCCTCTGTGCCCACTGTTCCACTGGTCCTCTGTGCCCACTGTTCCACTGGTCCTCTGTGCCCACTGTTCCACTGGTCCTCTGTGCCCACTGTTCCACTGGTCCTCTGTGCCCACTGTTCCACTGGTCCTCTGTGCCCACTGTTCCACTGGTCCTCTGTGCCCACTGTTCCACTGGTCCTCTGTGCCCACTGTTCCACTGGTCCTCTGTGCCCACTGTTTCACTGGTCCTCTGTGCCCACTGTTCCACTGGTCCTCTGTGCCCACTGTTCCACTGGTCCTCTGTGCCCACTGTTCCACTGGTCCTCTGTGCCCACTGTTCCACTGGTCCTCTGTGCCCACTGTTCCACTGGTCCTCTGTGCCCACTGTTCCACTGGTCCTCTGTGCCCACTGTTCCACTGGTCCTCTGTGCCCACTGTTCCACTGGTCCTCTGTGCCCACTGTTCCACTGGTCCT